GAATATCAAGATAATAACACTATTATAACAGATTAGGAAATATTTCGTTGTCTCAAACATCTTTTCTTCTATAATGTGAGTGAGACGAAAAATGAGAAATAACAGTGAGCAACTACAGGAAACTGACCCTCGGCTAAACTCATCACGTCACATCACTGCCCACGCCCACACACGTCACATCACTGCCCACGCCCACACACTCGTTTCTTTTAAGCAGTAAGCTACAGCTGTTGATTTAGGTGCTAAGGTTCTTTAACACACGAACTCGTAATTTGGGTACAATAAACAACTTTTAAATATTATGAAAATAAATTCCTTAACAGTGTTGGTTGCTCATTTGAGTTGTTTGTATTGCATTATGTCCGTTGCAATTAGGTGCTTTTAGTACCTATCTTGATTAATTCACTGACGCCTATTAACACAAGCATATACGAGACGCGAAAACCGTCGAACTCTCAAAGATGGTTTCTCACGGGTGGCTAAGAGTGTTCGTCAGTCAGGCTCTTAGAATGAAGCTTGTGACGTCGTGGCGTAAACTGAGTTTCCAAAGCAAACTAAATGAACCAAACAAATCTACCCCAGGATGATTAAGTTAAAGTGCTAGTTGACGACATAAAATTCCCGAACTTTGTTTACAAACACGACGCCACGCGCCCCAATCATATCCGCTCTCCAAGTCTTTTTGTGAGTAATGGATGCAAAAAAACCCCACTTACCTGGATTAAACTTTCCTTGTGGTGCTAAAGCGCGTGTTTTGTGTGATAACAATCATTACACATTACATGTTTCTCTACCTGTAAATGTGAAAAATTCAAGTAACAGGTTCAAATAAACTACAAGAAGACTGCAGCTAAAATTTTGTCGAAATTAGAGACAAACATACTGTAACTACCTAGTATATACAGTAGGGTGCCGTCGATACAGTACTACTTAACCACAGGTACCGGGAAAGATATTATGATTAGTTCTGAGAATCTGGTCCACCCAGGTTGAGCCGAGTTGCCTTGTCACGTTGCAGACACCAATATCATCTTGGTTTTATGCAATATGTTTCTCTTTAATAATGTGTACATCCGCGAGTGAACTTCCTGGTGCCTTAGTTTTGGTTGAACCGGCGAGCAGAGTCGTCCAACTTAAGAGTGGGGTGACGGTTGCCTGAGGCATATAAACCTAAGGCGGGTGAAAATATGGGGGAGTGATGATTTCAGCCTGCATCATACACCCACCAGGCAGCCACAATTACAGGCGTCCCAGCCTAAACTGTGAAATTATCTACAAAGTTGCACGTATATCGAGCAGTGGTCCTTCCCTCTCTGTTATATGGCAGCGAGACATGGGTCACATACAGGAGGCACATCAAGACACTTGAAAACTTTCACCAACGTAGTCTATGTGCCATCCTCCGAGTTCGCTGGGAAGACAAGAGAACAAATGCCAGTATTATTGCTGATACCAAATGTAGGACCATCGAGGCTACCATTATCCATGAACAACTATGCTGGACTGGCCATGTTACCCTCATGGACGATAGTAGACTGCCAAAGCAGCTACTTTACAGTCACCCAACGAATAGTAAACGTAATGCTGGTGGGCAGCTGAAAGGGTATAAGGATAGTCTTAAGACAAACCTGAACAAATGCCAAATCGACCCCCTCACCTGGGAGTCGATTACTCCACACTACAACGCTTGGAGGAGCACCACACAAGAAGGTGTCAATACTTTCGAGTTAGCCCGACTGCATATCGAGGCAGACAAGCGCCAACGCCGGAAAGACGCTGCCACCGCCCCTCCCGCACTAGATGTAGCCCTCCACATATGCCACATCTGTGGACGGCCCTGCCGGTCCCGTATCGGCCTCACGAGTCACCCCAGAGCTCACCAACGAAGGTGACATCCTTAATAACTCATATAACTGTATCATAGCTGAATGATCGTCATGATTCCTCATGACAGCAAAGTAGTGTCGTACAGCATTAAAGACCATCAACAGAGGGTTACATCTAAAACAATTATTAACATTAAACACTGAACATAAAGGCAGCGTTGTTGGTACATGATTTATGTTATTTAACCAATAGTTCATTAAAATTACATTGCATTATACAAGTTTTACATTGAACCTTTGGAAGACGGAGGTGAGGACCGCAGAGTACAAAAGCAAATGGTGAAAGCACACGTTTCTGAGACATGTTTCTGGTTGTAACAGTTATTGCCACTAAACCATGACAGAGCGTACACCGCCTCCCCATCTCAAGTGTCTTCCTGTTTAACTGGTTATCGACGTTGTCTCTCATAATACCCTGACTCCTGACAACGTTCACTTGTGATACCTCCAGGATTTCCATCGGCTCGTGGGTACCGTTTCTCTCTTAATAGAATAGAACAGACGTACCGCAGCGTCATCATATTGGTAGCGGACTTTACCAACTAAGGCCACATCGTCTCTAGATGGCGCTAAAACTGTCCCTGGCTCTCTCAGTCAAGGAGTCAAAAGTCAGTCTTTCGATCAGTGCCGGAGCAGCAAGACAGCCAATCAAAGAAAACTGATACAATAATATGTTTAACACCAACGTAACTAAATATTGTTGTTCGAATATTTGAGGTTACAGAATGTACTTTTGACAACTTAAGTTAAACATTACTCTTTAATTGAAACTAAAACATCGTTAACTCGTGGGGTCATTTCTAGCATTCAGAGGTGTGTGTACAATGGTGTCTATGGGCCTACATATTAACATAAACGTGTACAAGTCAGGTGTGTGGAGGTGATACAGGTTTCCCGCCACACCTGCATTATTGTACACGTTCAAATTCAGGTGTTCAAAGTTACCATGACTCTATAATGTCTGTGTGTGTGTGAGAGAGAGAGAGAGAGAGAGAGAGAGAGAGAGAGAGAGAGAGAGAGAGAGCACCCAAAACCTGTATATTCTACCGCTTTTAAACCTGTAACCTGACATCAACGTTATACCCACCAGCAACAACAACAAAAAAAAACTTAAGTTGATATTAGGAAAAAAAGAGATGCCGAACACGTAGTTATTTACCTGTCTAATTTATAACAACAAAAACTTCACCTGTCCGTATCACCTGCTCATACACCTCGTCAAATGCTTCCCTTAACAAATATAACAACCAAGGATCCAATACTCGGTAAAGGTAAGATTCACCTTAAATTAGTGAGTGCGGTTCTGGTCGCTCACTGTTATTTTCCTGTTAGTTTAAGGTTCCTCTATATTCTTTGTTCCTCCCCACACACAGAAGTGGCACGAGTAAGGTCATAGATGGATGGATGCCTGGTTGACTGAACGGATATAGACAGACAGATAGATAGAGAGGTTCAACACTCAGGAAATACTTGCAACACGAACAAAGAAAGGTGAACGGACTTGACCTCTGAGCCATGTAAGAAACCTCGCTGAAGAACACGGAGCTTTTTGAGGTCTGTCTGTATGTCTCCAAGATCATAAAAAAAGTCTCATCTCTAAACGAGCTGTTGGAGCAGTATGGATGCCTCTGTTGTGTTTTGATGTACTCGAGATTAAATGCAGAACAAAGAAGATTTAAATTTATCAAGTCTGGGAACAAAATCCAATAAAACTGGTGGTTAAATTTTCAAGAACGAATATTCCTGTAAATAACGGCTCGACTAGTATCGTTCCTTGACCTCAGCGGCGCCTGATACTGGGGGTTCATCTTCAAGGGTCAATCAGGGGGTTCAAACATTGGACCGAGTCTAATTCTGAGGGCTATGGACACGCTTTAAATGTTCTCTACACAAATTATCTCCAAGAAACAATCTCGTACTACTTTCAATCCTGATACGATCACTTAAAGACGTTTTTGGTATTGTATTTTTTATCGATATATTCAAAGTTGGTGTGAAGTGCATGTAAACACGGAGTGGCATCACACGGGAAGAAAGGGGTGAGGAAAGGAGAAAGGAATGAAAGAGGAAAGAAAAGAGAATGGATGAAAGAAGAGTGGGGGAAGAGAAGAAAGGGTGAGAGGAGGGGAGGAAAAGAGAAGAATGAACAAGAGGGAAGGTGTGTACAGTCGACAGATATAATAAAAAGTGTATAAACTTTCACACGGGAAAAATAAATCAGTCCAAGAGTCTGGTCAGGTGCAAATTATATATCAATGTATGTCTTAGAAAGGTTATTTACACGCGCATGATAATAGGCTGTCCCAGTATTCTAAATTTAGATTATCTCTATCCTACAACCAGGAGCGAACTCGTAGCAATGGTCTTAAATAAGAAAAATTTAGATTTAGGCGAGAGATAATTATCTAAACACTGATTTGGAAATAGAATAGTGGATGAGTGGAACAAGTTACCAAACATCATTATTAACTCGAATGCGCTGGGTAGCTTCAAACATAGGTTGGATGGATATATGAGTGATAGGGGTTGGGTGTAAACGGGACTGCCTAATATAGGCCAATAGGCCCGCTGCCGTTTCCTCCATTCTTATGTTCGTCGCCGCTTATCAACTAACACTGAAGAAATTATACAAATACCACATCTGGCCATGATGAAATACGAGTCACAGAAAACATTCACCAATATATATTTAGAAAATAAAATTCCAACCACACACACACACGGAATGACAAAATAACAATTAGTTTATTCTATATCTGTATAAAAAAAATAAACATTGTACATGAAGAATACTCTGCGTAGGTGCTACGCTTACTGTATATTGACATAATCAATTCAAACAGTGACTGATCACCGGCAACAACCACACAACGAGACCCAACATTCTACTCGGTCCAGTGAAGGTGTTTTAAACTACTGTACTTGCATTACGTAAGGAGTATACGGTTACATCAAGTTAAAGTTATATTGTTGGGTTATTTTAGGTTATCTTAAGTATGGGCCAGGCTATGTTGGTTAGGTTAAGATACCTCAACTTGCCGTGTTAGAATATTTTTAACTCGGGTAGATAGATTAGTTTAGGGGAGAAATGTTGTAACCAGATAAAATACTCACCAGCTTTTCGATTCTGAAGACGTCTTTCTTCGTTTCCTTGAAGTCGAGGATGTCGGTGCTGAGGGCCAGGATGGTGTAGGCCACCAGGGCACACGCCACCATCTGTCTTTGTGAGCACCGACCCATGCCTTTCTCGTCACCAGCAGCTAGGGGGGAGGAGAGGGTCTTCTTCCCTCACTGGTTATAAGGTTACCCACGGTCACCTTACAGGCTACCCACAGCGAAAGCTAAGGGCACTCCAGGGTGGTGTTCAGGGCAGGTCAGAAGGAAGAATTTAATGTGATCTGGGTGAGGCGAAGCTGGACCATACACCACGGACTAGTCTTCAGGATTCATTTGTGTGAGTGTTCATGGTGTGACAGCGTCCAGGAATGTGACCTGTTCCCGCTGTAGGCCTCACCCACCTATGTTTATAAGGTAACTTTAATAAAATATAAAATCATAATATAACGTTTTCATATTATGATAATGTACAAAAATATAAGATCATATCTGGAAAGCTTTCGAGTTCACTTGGTTGGGAAGATACTGGATTAAATATCAATGCGTCATATCATTTTGTAAACGATGTCGAATTATTTTCATCAAATCGAATCGATAAATAAAATACAGCTTAATGAAATAAGTGACAGGGACTCACCTGGACTGAATTGCACGAAAAGTAATGTTCAAGTGAAATAAAATAATACTAACATGGCTTTGGAAACTCCAGTCCAGCCATACACTATATTTTAAACTTTTAAAGTAGCAGACTTTTGTGCCACCGACATTGACTTGCGGATTTCCTGCTACACTTCTCAAAATAAACACGTTGAAGCAAGAAGGATCTCGGAGTACACCATAACACTGTTTACGGGTCAACGACCTGAGGGGTAAGGGGTAGTGAAGGCTTAAAAAAATAATGGTTTCTCCAGTACGATAAGCATTGGACCTTCAGCTACACAAGTTGAGCCTGGGAGGCCTCCTAAAAACTAGTCAACTTTACATAGCAGCTCTACAGTATTGAAATATGGTGGCGGCACACTGGGCAAGGACGGATCCTGGGGGTCCGGACCCCCGCCTTCATTTCATCAGAAAAGTCCAATACTTTTTCTTTAATGCAGTATTGTAATCGAGCATTATTGTATTGTAAAAAGTAATTACTATTGACCTCGAGTATCTCCTAATATCAAGTGCACATGGCCTCAAAATGTCCATGATATTGGTCAGATTTCCAAAAAATTCTGGGGGGAAGGGGGCTCCCAGTCTCCTCCCCCCCCCCCATATACTGTAGGGGGCTCGCTTTGCTGGCAATGTTCCCCCACCCCAAAAAATTTCGGACCTCCCTTTTGATATTCCTGGATCCGCCCCTACTGGGCACTTTCTTCTGTACATGTTGCCCGTGTTGCTGGCCGCTGGCCTACCGGCCCAGCAAGCAGCAGGATTTTGGCTGTTGCGAGAAATGGACAACGGTTTGGCGGCCAAGTTTGCTGGACGAGCTCTAGTGCTCAAATGAGCTTCAGTAAAAATTTAATAAACCATGAAACAATAATAATTTAAAATGTAAAACATAAATCGGTGACACATTTCCATTTATTCGTCACTTTAAAACTTGTTTAGTATTATTAAATCATTATTCGGGGTCTTCTTTGACCAGCCAGACGCGGCTTGCTTCAGCAATTGAAGAACTATAGCATAATCCTGCAGTTTTAAAGTGACGAATAAATAGAAATATGTCATTGTTTATGTGTTATGTTTTAAACTAAAATTTTCATGATTTATTTCAATTTTTACTTGAAATTAGATGAAGCTCATTTGAGGACTAATGAGCCAGCAAAGATCCCCGCCAAGCCGTCAACAGCCGTCACGCGGGACGTGTTTGGAGGACCCAGGAAAGTGCTCAGTGTGCCTCCACCTTAAGGACACGATACATAAATGTGAAATTCACATGGCGGAATTAGTGTTCTAGGTCGAAGTCCGTTGTCAGGGTTTAGCTTCACACATTCAGCCTTAGCCAAAGGTAAGCTTCTTTGAACACGTTTTGCCAAAGCATACTCAGCCGGTCGCTGTTCTTCAAGTTAGAAATTCCAAAATTATATTACTGTTGGCCTTGTTGTCAATGTATGTCCATTTGTACACAATATATCAATAATACCATAAACTGTACATGTCATTACATCACACGAGAGCCACCAAAATGTTACAGCCAATTTATACTAAATTCGATAACGTTTATTCTCGGTTATTAACAGTCATATTACAGCTACTTTCAAGAAAACTAAACACACCGTATCACACCACCACCACACACCACACTAGACGCCGGCCTTCCCTGGACCCACCACGTTAGTCACACCAGTTGCCGGACAAACATTTATCAACCAAAATTGTTTATTCGACGCAACGCCTTAATCAAAATCATGCGATAAATAACTCACAAAATGTTTATTATCACAAATTTATTGCCATCAGTATTTTTTATGAGGCGATAATCATTTAAATTTCATAGAAAGGTAAAGTGTTGCCGGTACCTGGCCGACCCCTTCACTCAGGGCTGCCAATATCATCCACACCACACCACTGCTTTTCTTAATGTCCCATAAAACTGTCTTTTCGTTTAGGGATTTTCAGATTATTTAAAAAAAATATAGAAGTTAATTAATATATTCCTTGAAATAAAAAACGGAATCACTTATCTGTATTTAGATTCTTAAATATAAATTTCACGAAGGTGGTGGATATGATCACTCAAACCACCTTATGACCTGACACACACACACAACGTAATTTAGTTTATTTATATGATTTATTGGGTAAAAATCATACATACATACATACATACATACATACATACATACAGTACAGTGATGAGTGTAAGGTTAGGTGTTTAATAATGACAGCATTAGGTTAAGTTAGGGTTATGTTATGTTAGATTATGATTGTTGGGTTACATATGGTAAGTGTTAAATGATGATAGTATTGGACTGTTATTCGTGTTCGAAAAGATAGTAAGACTTAATTAAATGTGGACACTAATATATATAAAATTACACGATTAGATAAAGCTAAATTAGGTTAAGAAAATTAGGTTAGGTTAACATAATACATTATTGACTAAGATTCGGTGGTCAAGTTAGAATGTTCATATTGGAGAGAGTTAAATTAGGTTGAATTGGGAGAGTATGGTTAATTCTTTTTGAGGAGCCAATTAGTGTCAGTTTGGTTTAAAGGGTTTTATTATTAATTTATGCTGGATTTGGATTGAGTTTTATAAGATTCTGTTACAGAATAAAATGATTGAATTTGATTGGAAAATATTAACACCGAAAATGCTCTCAGTGTCGAATTGGTCAGGATAACATAATTTAAGTTTAGAAGTGTTAAATTAGATTAAGATGCCATTTATGTTATTGCAATAATTAAATAAGGTTGGAAGAATAAATCATTGTAATTTGGATTCTAATGACATTATTTAATAAGGTGTGAATTTTTTGAACTTGAAATTAGTACATTCAATTTATGGATTGAGGTTGAGTTAAGATGGAATTTATTGATAAAATTTTAGATTTGGAAATACTTAAATCGAAAACATTTAAATTCCATACTGTGTAGAACAATATAGCCTGGGCCACACACTCGCCTACTCCTAAAAAAAATGGTAGTGCAGTTTTCATGTGCGTGTGAAAAACGTTGAAAAAAAACGTTTTTTTTCTGGTTTGTGCATATATGTGCGTTTTACTGGTTCCTTATGTTCGTGTATGTTAATGGGTTTGTTTGTTTGTTTGCTGTGTCGAGTGCCCGTACGTATGCTTTTGTGTGTATTTGAATGTATATTTTAGTGTATATGTGTGTGTGTATTTCTCTTGCCTCAAAACAAAATAAAAACACCAGAGAAACCCCTCTTTTAAGAATCCAAGCGATGACTGGCTCGAGTGTTGCCAGGGAATGGATACATTTTACAAGGTAGCTTTTTCTGTCATTTGTTTACTTGCCGGCTGGTTTCATGAGGCAGGTGTCGCTACTGTCACGAACACCTCATATTATTGTCACCATATCTGTTTCCTTCAGTTCACATTATCCCAAAAGTTTATTTCACCTTGACATTAACCACCCTAACGCTACCTTAACCTCTCCAGATACAGTTAGAGTTCAATCATCAGGTGAAATAAAATGATGACTAATCTTTATAGGTTAATTTTCATCTCCCTCTGGCGTCTGGAAAAATATTGCCACACCATTATTGTTGTCATGCTCCGTGCTTTTCTTACCTGACCTCTCATGTCCTACACATTTGCGCACCCAAGGGGTGGGCCCATGGAGCCCGGGCCCCCCATTAAACCCACGGTTCCTTAACCGTCCGTGGTCAGATGCTGGAATCCTACATGTCACCCCCTGGTCAGGCAAAAGTGAAATTTTTCTGCCTAATGGGTCCCATTTGGTCTGAAAATGAAGGAAATAAACCTCAATTTGCTTGTAATTGCCAATTTAAAGCTCCGGCGCGCGCCCAAGTTGCCAAGGCAGGCCTCTGAGATGACGGCACGCTGATTTCCTTACCACAGTGGTGTGGGGTTTCGAGATGTGGTCTCACACTCAGGATGGGTTGGAGAAAGGAAAATCACAATGCGCTCTGTATATATATTGTATTGGATGTACAGTCACCCAAAAAAGTCCTGTCGCGAACCACGATTCAGACTCGTGAACCCGAAGCAGTAGACACTGATACATTATTCTGCCCATAAATGCTTCGGATTCAAGACTCTGAATCTTGGGGCTTCATGGTTCGCGACAGGACTTTTTTGGGTGACTGTACAGTGCAGCTTGGTGCTGGGAAGTTGCAGCGTGGTTACAAGCGTGGAAATTAAGAAATAAATAAAGATTTTAAGCTAAAAGGAGAAAAAAATTGTAGAATATAAAGAAGGGGAAAACTATAAGGGAAAGCAAGAAAGGCGAGGAAGAAGGATAAAAAACAAGAAATTTAAGGAGAGATGGAGGAAATAAGACAAAGAACATCTCAAACTGCCAGAAATAATGTAGCCAGACTCAGTGGGCTAGCGGGTGTGAGTCTAAGGTGGAGTGGAGTTCCTCGACCACAGCCCACCTGTTACATCACCCTACCTCCACTAACCCATCACTGTACCGTTACCTTCCCGCCCGTGTTGCTGACTGGTGTGCATGGTTATGGGATAAACTTTCCTGAGTACACTTGAAACTTATAGATGTTATTATTTTTTTTATTCGTAGAAGCTGATGTGATATAATACTGTACATTGATCCTGGGTAGTGTACAAGGTGTTTACCATTAAAATGTATATTGCAATGATCCCACGTGGTTTTTGGGAGTCATGAATGGCCAATCTCCACAATGCCTGTATTATTTTTCGAGAAATTAATCAATAAAATCAAATTCTATGCCATTATATTAATTGGATTATACGATCTGTTCGTTATTTACAATTTCTAAAGGATTTATTTTCAAGTTGGCATCCCAGATAAGTAGGACACGTTTACCTGTGTTACCTGGGACACAGAGAGGAGAACCCTACAGTTATAATGTTGGGGGGAGGGGGCACTACCACTATATGGGAGAGGACCACTGTACCACTGTATGGGAGAGGACCACTGTACCACTGTATGGGAGGGGGCACTACCACTATATGGGAGAGGACCACTGTACCACTGTATGGGAGAGGATCACTGTACCACTGTATGGGAGAGGACCACTGTACCACTGTATGGGAGGGGGCACTACCACTATATGGGAGAGGACCACTGTACCACTGTATGGGAGAGGATCACTGTACCACTATGGGAGAGGATCACTGTACCACTGTATGGGAGGGGCACTACCACTATATGGGAGAGGACCACTGTACCACTGTGTGGGAGAGGATCACTGTACCACTGTATGGGAGGGGCACTACCACTATATGGGAGAGGACCACTGTACCACTATATGGGAGAGGGTCACTGTACCACTGTATGGGAGGGCACTACCACTATATGGGAGAGGACCACTGTACCACTGTATGGGAGGGGCACTACTATATGGCAGAGGACCACTGTACCACTGTATGGAAGAGGACCACTGTACCACTATATGGGAGAGGATCACTGTACCACTGTATGGGAGAGGATCACTGTACCACTATATGGGAGAGGATCACTGTACCACTGTATGGGAGGGGGCACTACCACTATATGGGAGAGGACCACTGTACCACTGTATGGGACAGTATCACTGTACCACTGTATGGGAGGGGGCACTACCACTATATGGCAGAGGACCACTGTACCACTGTATGGGAGAGGATCACTGTACCACTATATGGGAGAGGATCACTGTACCACTGTATGGGAGGGGGCACTACCACTATATGGGAGAGGACCACTGTACCACTATATGAGAGGACCACTGTACCACTATATGGGAGAGGATCACTGTACCACTATATGGGAGAGGACCACTGTACCACTATATGGGAGAGGACCACTGTACCACTATATGGGAGAGGACCACTGTACCACTACATGGGAGAGGACCACTGTACCACTGTATGGGAGAGGATCACTGTACCACTATATGGGAGAGGATCACTGTACCACTGTATGGGAGGGGGCACTACCACTATATGGGAGAGGACCACTGTACCACTATATGGGAGAGGACCACTGTACCACTGTATGGGACAGGATCACTGTACCACTGTATGGGAGAGGACCACTGTACCACTGTATGGGAGAGGACCACTGTACCACTGTATGGGACAGGATCACTGTACCACTGTATGGGAGAGGACCACTGTACCACTGTATGGGAGAGGACCACTGTATGGGGAGGGGCCACTGTACACTACCACTATATGGGAGAGGACCACTGTACACTATATGGGACCACTGTACCACTATATGGGAGAGGACCACTGTATGGGAGGGGGCACTACCACTGTATGGGAGAGGATCACTGTACCACTATATGGGAGAGGATCACTGTACCACTGTATGGGAGGGGGCACTACCACTATATGGGAGAGGACCACTGTACCACTGTATGGGAGAGGATCACTGTACCACTGTATGGGAGGGGGCACTACCACTATATGGGAGAGGACCACTGTACCACTATATGGGAGAGGACCACTGTACCACTGTATGGGAGGGGGCACTACCACTATATGGGAGAGGATCACTGTACCACTGTATGAGAGAGGATCACTGTACCACTGTATGGGAGGGGGCACTACCACTATATGGGACAGGATCAATGTACCACTGTATGGGACAGGATCACTGTACCACTATATGGGACAGGATCAATGTACCACTATATGGGACAGGATCACTGTACCACTATATGAGACAGGATCAATGTACCACTATATGGGACAGGATCAATGTACCACTATATGGGACAGGATCACTGTACCACTATATGGGACAGGATCACTGTACCACTATATGGGACAGGATCACTGTACCACTATATGGGACAGGATCACTGTACCACTGTATGGGACAGGATCACTATACCAAATATATGGTACATGATCACCACTCAGTAAAACTTATAGAGGTACACAATAGAGTTGGAAGAGTATTTCCTACCCTTCTTACACCATCTATCAAGAGGTATTTGTTACAATGGCCACCATCTCTCTCAAATCATTACAGTGTCGTCAAGTCAGTTTGGAACAAAGCTGCTGTGCTACTCTCTCAACACTATCTTGGGTTCTTCTCACACAAATTGCAATCAACTCCACAACAAAATCAAGAGAATACCACCTTGAACAGAATGCAACATTACTGTTCCATTCCAACCATTATGACATTCATCAATAATTCGTAATGTTTTGTATATTCACTCCACTTTTTCCTGTTTGTACTGAATTTGTATTAGAAGCATCATTCAACCACACCTCTACATTTTTCTCTTTCTAGTGTATGTCTGTTCTGTATAAGCTACGATAACTAATTTTAGGTGAAATACGCTGGGGTGGTTAGAATGTCAAAAGGACCTCGGTGCGTACAGTATTTTGACAATGAAGTGAAGTTTTTGGGCCGTGAGACTGGTGCCTACACTATGATACCTCAATTACTAAAGGATTAGAATGCCTGCAACTGCCTAGCTTATGTTATGGATGGGCAAGGGGTGACCTAATTGAAATTTATAAACATTGATCTCAGAGAGCACTATTCAGTTGAGTGTCCATTCCTGGAGCTGGCAGATGCTCACCCCACAAAGGGTCACAGCTCAAGGTTGAAGAAGCCACAAGTCCAGAAAATTGCTAGGGCAAACTTTCAGAGTGAGAATTGTGAACGCTTGGAACAATCTGCCAGTGTTTTGTGACGGCACCGAGTGTGGGCTCTTTCTAGACAGACTTGACCAAAACTGGCACAGTTTCAGACACATTCAGTAGCAAGTGCAAACCCAATACATGTGAACAGTGCGTAACAGAGACATGACTGACCACCCAGGCGGCTAACAGGCCGACCAGTGGCAAAGAGGATAAAAGTTAACCTGAGACTGTGACCTCTAGTGGGGCGGGGTATCTGCCTGTTGCACGATGATGTCATTGTGCAACAGCAACATAGTAAGTACTGTACTGAGAAAAAAAGTGTTCTCCAAAAGCATCATTACTCATTATTGTTCAGGCTAATCTTTGTAAAACATTACTGTACTGTACCTTAATAATTTCAAAATTATTATTGAATCACGCTCTGTGCCCCATACCTTTTTCATTCAGTATAACCATCAAATGAGAGACTTAGGGTAAATATGTACAGTATTTTAAAAGACAATATTTAATCTCAAACAAAACTATGGGTACATCTTGCAATATACAGATATATATTCAGTAAAAGCATTATACAAGTTTACAATTACAGTTGTTTGGTTATATGGAGTGATGAATACTTCAAGAGGATGAAATAGACAGGATTGTGTCTGATTACATTTTAGAAATATAAGCTGGAATGGTAAAACAACTTGGACTTCAAACTTGGGTGCCTCCAGGTGTGCTAAGTATTGTTTTCTTCAGCATCACAAGCTCAGACACATACTCATCTAATTCTTTTTAAAAATAATACAAATAAACAACAATAATGTAAGGTATAAAAATCTGTAGGAAACTATTTTATTTACATTAACTGTGCATGGAATTCTTTTCTACATACACAGCCACTACAAGTGAGACTCAACATTCTTAAAACACAGTGACTATGTACGTAATCAGTAATACTGTTTTACCTCAATACAATACAATACAGTACTATACTGTATATATACTGTACTAACATTGGACCCATGTAGAACAAACTCACCGGGAATAATAGAATGATGAAACAAGCCACTTGCTCCCTTCCCCTGACAATTACATAAATTAACAATAAACAAAAATTATACATAAGACATTGCTAATCCACTGAAAATTTTTACTGACTGTTACTCTGAAGTTCCATTGCACTTTCAGGTGATTGATTTCAAATGAACTGGCCACCAAGAACTACAGATTGAGTGGTTTACTCCGATTCTTTGTGGCTTGATGAGAGGCACACACTCTGATTCACAGATGGCCTTGGCAACTGAGAACTTGGTTGGATGGTCATAGTTTTAAACTGATCTTCAGCTCTTTGGAACAAAAAGTGTCATGTCCCCCTTATTTGAGGCAGATGGTACAGGGAAAAGTTAAGGGTGGTTGCTAATACTGTAATGAAGCCATTAAGCACAGAAAACTAATTTTGCTAAACCAGTACTTACTTTATCCCTTTTGCCACTGATCAGCTTGTTAGCCACTTGGGCTTCACATATCAAGCAATAATTATAGGTAATATATAGGGTGTAACAACTGAATGGGGACAATGTTCACCTTCTGTCCTGAAGTTGGTGGGTTGTGCCTGCTTCCATTTAAGCTGTGCATTGATACCTAATTTTACAACTGCAAAAGTGAAGTCAGTCAAGTGCAGTGCAAGACACACTGCCTCCTTGTGTACTGAAGACTTAATATTCGGTATGTTACACCCACACTGCCTCCAATGGGTCATGTCCTATGGGATCCATATTTACATTAATAATGACAAAAGTATTCTGTTACTTTAACAAATCTCCACCTAATAAATACCGGTTATATAAGTTTATGGAAATCCACTATGACCATCCAGTAAAGTCAAGATGAATATTGTACAGTTCTCATCTAGCACATTAGGACTTCATCTTGCATTATAATAGATGAATATTGTACAGTTCTCATCTAGCACATTAGGACTTCATCTTGCATTACAGTATAATAGATGAATATTGTACAGTACTCATCTAGCACATTAGGACTTCATCTTGTATTATAAATTTTTTGGGGTAATGTTTCATCAAAATCTTTCCACAGTAAAGCACAGTATATGTCATGACATACACTCAACCATCATTACACTGTACTGTACTGTGTACTCATGAGTAAAAATACAAATCAAATGAATAAAAGAAATGGTACAGTACTATACTGTATTGTACTTATTTAATCAAGTGTATAAAATATCCACCATTAAGAAAATATTTAGCTGTAGTACTGTAGTGTGTATGCAAATTGTTTATTTATTAAGTCATACCTTTTAAAAATACAGGAACAATATATTTTGACTAACAATTGCCTGGTTCTGACATGTTTACTTATATTCATTCTCCTCAGAAACCCATCACAATTTTGCAGTCCATTTATTAAACTACCTTCATGATTTTCACACTAAGTAATGTTATAAAAATGTAAGTTTTCACTATACAGTACACTACAGTATACAGTAAAGTATTATTAAATATTTTCTTGACTTGCATATTTTTCCAGAAATCTTTTGAAAAAGCCATTCTTTTCTAAAAAGCTCATGGCTCCAAATAATCTGTATTCTGAGATGTTGTCACCATTGAGGAAGTCATGGATGCTGACTGCCAGGAACATAAAGCCATACATCCACATGTTCTCCACATTGGCCAGCAACTGTTCAAAGGTTACATCAGGAGTCACTCCACCAGCTGTAACAACCTTAGAGAAAGTTTGCCAGTAACTTTCTAGGAGTTGTTCCAGGTTCTCTGATAGAAGTTTAGGATCACTGCTCATATAAAGCATAGACATGATGTCAATAACTGGATTGTCAATGCGACAAAACTGCCAATCAATTATGCTGGCTAAACTTTCATCGTCGGAGTATAAGAGTTGGCCGGCCCACATGTCTCCGTGAACGATTGTGTTTATTAGAGGAAATTTCCGAGAGGTGGAGCGGATCTGTTTAGTTAACGGAATAAAGGCCCTGAAGCTGTCGCCCATAGAAGATCCATCGTACTTTTCAGCTAGAGTGTTCAAATTGGGTAAGAAGAACTGATCATAAAATTCAGTGTTAAACTCAGCTGCCAAAGTTGATAGTGAGCTATCTTGGCCGTGCTGGTGTATGTAGATGACTCCTGCAGCATGAATCACTGCAACAGCCTGGAGTGCAGTCTTGGTTTGTGCAAAGTTGCTGCCATCTTTCACAATCACACACTTATATTTGTCCACGTTCAGATCACTCAAAACAATAGTTATGGCATCCTCTGTGTAACCAGCATAATAAAGTTCAGGAATAGGAAGAACTATCCCATTTTTTTTACATATATCCTGAAAATGTGGACTATTGGCAAACTGGTAAAACTCAACTTCACGTTTTGCTAAACCTCCATTTGATAAAAAACTTCTCAGGTCAGCCTCCTGAGGCAGAAACTTAAACACCAGTTGAGTTTCTACTGCTTCACTGCCTTCAACTGTATATTTTACCTTCACAAAGGCAATTTCACTCAAGAACCCCTCACGCCTATTAGGTAAAGTTGATGCCCAAGAATGAACTTCAACTGTGTTTCCAAACTTCTGTGTGAGCATCGTCTCAAGCCACTGTTGGTCTATCTCCTTATCATTCCTCAGGGGCTGTATGCTTGTGGCCATTTTCTGGAAGTTGATGATCCACAAATTTGTACTCAAAGTTCTGAAAGAAAATTAATACTGAGCTGCATCCTCACATTACAATGGTTTCTTTAATGTACTGAGTCTTTTTTGTAAATGAATTCTAAAATGAATGCAAATGTATGAAAGTAAAATTATAAGAGAATTCTCTAGATTCATGAGTTGGATATATTGTGAAGGCAGTCCCTGATGTATGAAGATTGTTTTCCTTTGTTTCACTTTTTTTTTTTTGCAACATCAGGAAATGTTGAGGTGCTCACACAGACATCTCAGGACTTCTCGTTCAGGTCAGTTTATAAAACATTGAAACTAAAAACAACATACTGTATTAAGAGAAGTTAATTTAGCTAAAAATAAAATACATGCAGTGAGTTAGATATCACAGCTCACAGAGTCGTTACGTGAAGAAGTACAGTAGCAAGATGCTGACTCAAGATATTTTCACTGGGAAAACTGATGTGTTTAGTATCCCAGAGTTTGATCTGATGTCAATGGAAAGAATTAAATGTTAAACGGACAAGTTTAGCTTTCCTTCTTCAGATAAAACTATATACAAAATTAAAGAACCAAACAGACTGTGAAGAACTACAGAAAGATCTCTATGAGCTTCAACTTAAGTTCTTGGGTCATTGTGAGAAGAAAGTGAATCAGGCAATGAAACTAGTAGGTCTTATAAGAAGGTCGTTTACATGGTATCTGGATGGTCCGTTGCTCATCACAATCTTCAAGAATGAGGTGCTTCCCCGTCAGGCGAGGTATGGTAGAGACTGTCAATTGACTGAAAATGTCCAAAGGAGGACCACCAGACTGGTGCCTGCTCTGCTGAACCTCGGCTACCCAGAGAGATTAGAACGCCTGCAACTGCCTAGCTTATACAGTTCTACAGACGGGCAAGGGGAGACCTAATTGAAATTTATAAATATCTCTGAAGGTACTACTGGGTTGAATGTACATACCTGGAGCTGGTGGACGCCCGCCCCACGAGGGGTCACAGCTCAAGGTTGAAGAAGCCACAAGTCCAGAAAACAGTAAGGGACAAACTTAATCTAACACTGGAGCAGGTTCCGATATATTCAGGAGCCAGTTCATGCCCAGTACTTGCCAACAGTGTATAACAGACGTGACCAAGTAATAAAGCACGGAGTGGACTTGAGGGTAGACTCACATTTTTAATAAATTTGTTTCTGATTATTTGTGAGAGTATTTTCCCATTATTATTTATTAGTATGTGTTTTGTGTGAGTGTTTCTGTGTGTCTACACTCACACTCTAATATATACAATACAGTAAGTCCTCGTTTAACATTGTTTCAGTACTACGTCGCAACTCTTTTGATACCAATAATTTATTAAACGCCCCGACGACTCAATTTAACGTCGTTTTTGAGTCGTCACGGACTACTTTTACAGAGCATCACCCTCTCTTGGCTTGGCGCACTACCTCTTACTAGTAGAACGTCACAGCGTCCCCAAGCGATGCCAAGCCAGTCTCTGTTACGCTTCCACATCATTCGTGTGTGCTCAAGTGTTTTTGCTTTAAATACTGTACTCTAACCATTCGAATTGGCTTCCAAGTGCCCATCAAGTGCTACTGATGCTAGTGTTGTGAAGAAGCAATGTAAGACCATTAGCCTTGCTACGAAAATGGAGGTTTAAAACTGGGAGGAGAAGCCACCCTCCTCCTCCGCTCCACTACCCACCACACACTCGCTCCACCACTTCGGTCCATCAGTGAGTACAATACAAAAAAATATATATATATACCTGTATATATATATATACTGTATACTATTTTCTCTATAAATGCCATTGAATTTCTGTATGTAATGTATTTCATGGGGCAAAGGGAGTCTCAGGAATGTAACTCCCATATTTTATCTATTACTTATGGGGAAAATTGATCCCCTTAACGTTGTTTCGTATAGCGTCGCTTTTTCAGGAACGTAACCTTAACGTGAAGCGAGGACTTACTGTACAGGTAAAATAAATAATTGTTCGTAACGCGCATAACTCTCGCCAATACGTCAAGGGTTCGAGCCTTGGCCCGGACACACATGAGAAGGGTGTTATCCAGTGTGACCCTCACTACCAAACACTACAGGTTTCCTCCTGTACTAACAATGGATAAAACCGCCCAAACGGCTAGTAAGTTGATAAGTGCCGAATGTGATATAAAAAAAACAAAAACCAAACACATAAAGGGAATATACATTTCTTTGTACTGTATACAAATAATGTATTGTGTCCATTGCTCTTGATATTCTGACCAAGAATGAAAGGGACACCGTGTCTCTTAAAAACAGATAGTGTAAATGAGAACATGGAATCTGTTTATCAAAAAAATTAAATAATGACATGAAGTGTAATGATACCTTCTACTGGACTGTATTTATTGTCTACCAAGTAGAGAGCAAACATTTATATTTTTCTAATACAGTGATCCCTCGGTTAACGAGCGCCTCGGTTAACGAGATTTCGGTTACCTTCCATAAGATTCTTAACTTCGGTTAACGGGCAATCCCTCGATTAACAAGCTTTTTACGAGCCGACTTCAACATGTTTTCGCTTGCATTTGGCGGTCCACCAGCTGTAGTATTAGTCCGCCAATACAGTAATCGGTTTTAGGGCTTAAATTCCTTACTATTTTAGTAAATATCAAGAAGTTTATACTATTCAATAATTTTAAAAGTTTTATATTAAATTTTTTAGTCATTTTAACAATTATAGAACATAACTGAAGGTAAGGAAACTAGTTTCATGCGCGCCATCCAGCCTGGCAACACACCAAACAGGGGCCAGTCTCTGTCTTTTCACTGGAGGTAACATCTTGCTTGAGACTCTCTTCAACTAAAAACTTTTTTTCTGTGTTTACAAGCAAATTATTGGTCATTTTGAAATTTATTTTACATATTGATAATATATAATGCAGTGCAGTGTTGATTTAAAGAAAATAATCTTGAATTACACCAAGAGAACTAAAATTTTATGGGTGAAATGGCGCCATTGAGTGACTTCTCTTCCACCCCAATGCCTTCTCTTCTCCCTTCTTCTCCACCCACATTCTAATTCCCATCATCATCATCCAGGAACCTTCTACATACACACCTCAAAGTAAGTGTACTTTTCTACCTTTTTTGTTGAAAATAGGCAATTTACGGTGAGCTGGAACCAATTACCCAAAAACCCATTGAAACAATGGTTTCGGTTAACGAGCAACCTGCTGGAACAGATTGTGCTCGTTAACCGAGGGACCACTGTAACTGTAAAGCAAACATTTCTCTTTATTTTTATTTGTTTGCAGTACATTCAGAACTTATTTAAATTTTCTCAAATTTACTTTAGGAAATTTATGATACAGTAAACTCAGCTGCCCTACAGTATGATGTGCTTCAAAATAATACAGTACATTATGTATCACATGGCAGTACTGTAGTCTTCTCAGAGTTCGTGACTTCAGTGTTTTTATTTTATTTATCATTGTCACCACTTATCAGCTTACTAGCCATTCGGGCGGTTGGTCCTTAAACATTACTGATACTGTAGTGTACATACAGTACTTTGAGGTAACTGATGACATTTTAACACAGTGGAAGGGTGAAAGAAAACTTACTACCTGTACTATAAAAAACACAAATATGTGTTCTCTCCCTCACAGGTATTTGTCAACTGCTATTCCTTCACCACACTCATGTAAATTGTCAATGTCTAATTTCACTTTTAAATGGCAATTTTTTTGCTGTTTCTTGATATAGTACTGTATATGGTGTGCTTAGCAAAGAACTGGCAAATCTTTTAGCACTGTACATGCATATAAGACTCTACATAATGGCTGCTCTGGCAGCAGATTATCACCACCTTCTGTGTTGCATAAAATAAAACATACAATACAGTACTGTAGAGTGAACATATACCTTTGCTCATGTAGAAGGTTCTCGCTGATTGGTCCTCAGGTGGAAGTAATTTGTGCATTGAGGATTAATTTTTTCTTATGATAACCTTGCAAAAATCTAAATACAGTATATTGCAGTAATCGACAACTTTGGTCATACAAATCAAATTCCAATAGATCAAAACTGTGATGGCTCAATTTACAATACACAATGAAGATTGTACTGTACAGGGGGTCCCTGACTTACGAACACCTGCCAATACGAGAGAGGTCCCATAAAGTTAAACTTTAATTATTTTTTTATGGGGACTAGCTCACCCAGGCACATCAGACAACACATTATGCTTTCAATATCTTTCCAGGCAATACTATTTCCTTGTTTGACAGCTGCCAACTACAAGTACACCACCGATTTTACGGCACCTTTGGTTTCTGAGCCTTGCCGGACCATCTGTTTTGCCGGATTAACAGAGGTCATATATAATAATTAAGCAATACACCTCTGACCCACTAGCTATACACCTCCCGGTATCATTAAATGAAATACAGGCTGTATAAATGATGCAGATTTATTAATTACTTACAAAGAATGTTGCAAAACTGCCGCTCCCAGAGTGGCAATTTGTAGAGTTTCACAAATACTGAAGATTTAATTACAAAGGTCTGGAAGCAGGGGGCTGTCAGGGTTGCTGTCTGTTTCATCTTGGACTTGTGGTGTTAAATATGTCCAAAATAAGCTGAGAATTACACAAAATCAAGGAGCTGTCACCAGTAACTGCAGAGTAAACAAACAAAGTGATCGCAGTTAACACGTAAAGCCATCTGTGGGCAGTCCAGTAAACTAATCTGGAGATCGCAGGAATTTTGTCCGGATTAAAAAAGGTGCCGGACCATCCAGTGCCGGAAAATTGGTGGTGTACCTGTACCTACTAACCTTAGCTGACGACATATTTTTAAATTTCATTTACTGTATTTATTTCATTCTATTTCTTCTTTTCTCTTAAATTAAGTGATTTTAGATGTACAGTCTCTCCTCGACTTATGACGGGGTTCTGTCCCGTCTACCAAGTCATAAGTCGAATTGGTCGTAAGTCGAAAAGGCGAAAATAACTCATAGAAATTCTAAAATGGGTGT